TTATATAAAATAGTAAAGCATATAAATACCTGTCATTCTACCAATTTTCAAGAGATTTAATGAAGATTTGACATATCTATGACTGAAACTGAATTACATCTCCTAGAGACTCGGGTAAAATATGGATTTGGTTATATCTTTCTCAATTCTTAACTGTTTTTGATGAAACAAAAACCCAATAAAAGGCAATAAACGTGGTTACAAGGCTATGTAATGCACGTGACCGTTTAACCAGTTGCAACCGATTAAAACCGGTCTTTGAACAGTTTTAAAAGATTTTCGAAATGAGGCAACCGGCAACTGGACCAACCCCAAATTGGGGCAACTGCAACCGAAAAAAAGACCGGACCATGGTCTGGTTCAGTTCGGTCCACCGGTTTTTTGCGGTCCTATGGACTGAACCTTTAAACACTAGAGTTTCTCATGTTTCCATATTCTCGTGTTTCCATATTTCTGTACAATGCAGCCAACATACCATGCAATGTGGTTTTTTTAGAATAACTTCCCCTTCCTCCTGCCCTCCCTCTCCTCCCCCTCCTGCACTTTTGTTCTTTCAGGCTTGGACTTTCATTTCTTCAGACGGGACTTGTGCAAAGGGTCACCACTTGCATTCAGGTTGGTTCCAAGGGACCACAGAGTTCATACAGCATGCTGTCACACCTTTCTTCCTTCCCTTCAGTGTGGATGTCCTCCCCTTCCATAGTGCTGCTGACCAGTTCTGAGCACAGTGTAGCAGCTGTGTATGTGGGACTGAGTGTTTGCCATTGTGCAAGCCTTTTGTGTGTTATGTGCTTTGGGGGGTACATGGCTTAGAGTGTGCTCTATTCTCATCTGTATTCCTGGTTCTTTCTCCCTTCTGGGTCACCACCACCCAGGGCCCTGGCCTCTTGGCAAGATCACTCAGCCTCATCACAGATCAGTCACACTTCCAGACCATCTCTTTCATTGGTTGCAGCTCTACTTATGACAATCTCAATACTAATTGAGTACTAATCTATGACTAAATTCACCTCTCATTTGATGCCAAGGGAATAAACAGCACCCCAACATTGTCAACAATGGTTAACATCATGTCTCTGCTGTTTTTCTGTTTTTCTGGTTATATTTGCACTAATTACCATATTTGGAAATGTGCACAGACCATGTAAACATTACTCCAACATTGTCAATAACAGTTAACACCATGTCTATACCTTTTCCCCTTCTTTTCTGATCTTCTGGCAGACCATGTGAACACTACTTCACCATCGTCAACAACAGTCTACATCATGTTTATTTTTTGTTCTCTCTTTTTCCCCTGATTTTCTGGTTATATTTGCATTAATTACAATATTAGGAAATGCGCACAGACCATGTAAACAGTACCCCAACATCATTACCACCATCCCTATTTTTTTCCTGATTTTATTGCTAATTTTTATCTGAAAATATAGAACTATTCACCAAATGGTAGATTGTGTTGTATCTGAATCCTGAATGAATATTATAGACAGCCTTTGATCATTCACTGGTGGTACTGTCAAGACAATTTGCAGGCAAGACTGGCTAGGGTGAATGACTGAACAGTCATACTAGCTCTCTTGATTTCTCCTACTCTTTGGTCATATCCAATCATATTTCCTGTTTTATATATATACTATAGACCCTGAAAGCAGTACCTAACATCCTATCCATCAATCCTATTTTTACCTCTCATTTCCTCGCTATTTTTAGAACAGGAAATACCCAGGGCTATATATGAAAAATCACAATGAAATGCCCAGGGATAGATTTGAAAAATTGCAATGAAACATCTGGGGTTAGATTTGAAACATTGCAATGAAATATTATAAGGTATCAATGAAAAATTGCAATGAAAGATACAAGTTATCTATTGAAAAGCCGCCATTGAGATAGCTTGACAGACTTATGAAATGCCCTTAGAGAATTTCTCATATTTTATGAGACATCCCAGGCAATTTAATGATTGAAAGGCTTAGGCTCATGTATTGAAATGCCTTTCATAAAAACCTAAGCATTATGGATTGTTGTCTGTAGGCTTAAGTCTAGGTTATATGATAAAATGTGGTAGCCACTAGTGGGAACTCACCAGTGATGACAAGGATGAGGAGCACACAAGGACCAGTTCCAGACAAGGTACCCAAGGGACAACAATGGATCCCTTGCACTTCATTGGGGATAATGAGACAGGCAGGGAATCAGCTGTCAACCATAACATTGATACTGCTCTTCCATCAGCCATCTTTCCTGAGCCAGCTTCGGCTGAAGATATCACCCACACCCCCACAGTTCAGCTGTCAACTTCAAATTCTGGAGCTGCTCCCCTCTTGACAGACACTGCGCACAGACCATGTAAACAGTACCCCAACATCATTACCACCATCCCTATTTTTTTTCTGATTTTATTGCTAATTTGTATCTGAAAATATAGAACTTGCCATATTTGGCAATTTTTATTGTTCATTCTGGTCACTGCATTCCAGTGCCATTCCATTCCAGGGACTGTTCCGGTGTAATTACCAGAATAACAATATTCCATGGCTGGAGTGAAATTTTGGCTGGTAAATTCCACTGGAATGGCACTGGAATCTGCCAGAATGACTGGAATCCGCCAGGAATATGTAGGGCATCACTAAGACCTCCTGACAAACACAGGCCCATCCATCTTCCCCATCCAAAAGGCTGTGGTGTGTTGCATCCAAGAACCCACCCACCTCAGCTGCCTCACATGCTGTGGGTTGCAAACCCTTCCACCATGCCCACCATGCCTGCTCGAATGCTGGCAGCTTCTTGAGTGTAATTTTTGGCATGACTTTGTGGCCACAAGCAACCCACCATCCCACCTCATTCGGCCTCTTGTCAATTTTGAAACCACCCCCTGCTACTCTGATGCCAAAGCTGGTATGCTTTTCAAACTCAATGTAATTCAAGATTGTTGCTAAGAAGGTTCGTCCAAGATTGCCAGATGTCAATTGTGTGTATGCCTTCCCAAACCAAGCTGGCCATTTCACATCTGCAGGAGGGAGGGTCACAGAATGAGGACCTTCAATTGTAAGTGGTGGTGTGTCGGGGGAGGGGGGAGTGGCTCCAGAAAGCAGTGTGTCTGTCAAGAGGGGAGCAGCTCCAGAATTTGAAGTTGACAGCTGAACTGTGGGGGTGTGGGTGATATCTTCAGCCGAAGCTGGCTCAGGAAAGATGGCTGATGGAAGAGCAGTATCAATGTTATGGTTGACAGCTGATTCCCTGCCTGTCTCATTATCCCCAATGAAGTGCAAGGGATCCATTGTTGTCCCTTGGGTACCTTGTCTGGAACTGGTCCTTGTGTGCTCCTCATCCTTGTCATCACTGGTGAGTTCCCACTAGTGGCTACCACATTTTATCATATAACCTAGACTTAAGCCTACAGACAACAATCCATAATGCTTAGGTTTTTATGAAAGGCATTTCAATACATGAGCCTAAGCCTTTCAATCATTAAATTGCCTGGGATGTCTCATAAAATATGAGAAATTCTCTAAGGGCATTTCATAAGTCTGTCAAGCTATCTCAATGGCGGCTTTTCAATAGATAACTTGTATCTTTCATTGCAATTTTTCATTGATACCTTATAATATTTCATTGCAATGTTTCAAATCTAACCCCAGATGTTTCATTGCAATTTTTCAAATCTATCCCTGGGCATTTCATTGTGATTTTTCATATATAGCCCTGGGTATTTCCTGTTCTAAAAATAGCGAGGAAATGAGAGGTAAAAATAGGATTGATGGATAGGATGTTAGGTACTGCTTTCAGGGTCTATAGTATATATATAAAACAGGAAATATGATTGGATATGACCAAAGAGTAGGAGAAATCAAGAGAGCTAGTATGACTGTTCAGTCATTCACCCTAGCCAGTCTTGCCTGCAAATTGTCTTGACAGTACCACCAGTGAATGATCAAAGGCTGTCTATAATATTCATTCAGGATTCAGATACAACACAATCTACCATTTGGTGAATAGTTCTATATTTTCAGATAAAAATTAGCAATAAAATCAGGAAAAAAATAGGGATGGTGGTAATGATGTTGGGGTACTGTTTACATGGTCTGTGCGCATTTCCTAATATTGTAATTAATGCAAATATAACCAGAAAATCAGGGGAAAAAGAGAGAACAAAAAATAAACATGATGTAGACTGTTGTTGACGATGGTGAAGTAGTGTTCACATGGTCTGCCAGAAGATCAGAAAAGAAGGGGAAAAGGTATAGACATGGTGTTAACTGTTATTGACAATGTTGGAGTAATGTTTACATGGTCTGTGCACATTTCCAAATATGGTAATTAGTGCAAATATAACCAGAAAAACAGAAAAACAGCAGAGACATGATGTTAACCATTGTTGACAATGTTGGGGTGCTGTTTATTCCCTTGGCATCAAATGAGAGGTGAATTTAGTCATAGATTAGTACTCAATTAGTATTGAGATTGTCATAAGTAGAGCTGCAACCAATGAAAGAGATGGTCTGGAAGTGTGACTGATCTGTGATGAGGCTGAGTGATCTTGCCAAGAGGCCAGGGCCCTGGGTGGTGGTGACCCAGAAGGGAGAAAGAACCAGGAATACAGATGAGAATAGAGCACACTCTAAGCCATGTACCCCCCAAAGCACATAACACACAAAAGGCTTGCACAATGGCAAACACTCAGTCCCACATACACAGCTGCTACACTGTGCTCAGAACTGGTCAGCAGCACTATGGAAGGGGAGGACATCCACACTGAAGGGAAGGAAGAAAGGTGTGACAGCATGCTGTATGAACTCTGTGGTCCCTTGGAACCAACCTGAATGCAAGTGGTGACCCTTTGCACAAGTCCCGTCTGAAGAAATGAAAGTCCAAGCCTGAAAGAACAAAAGTGCAGGAGGGGGAGGAGAGGGAGGGCAGGAGGAAGGGGAAGTTATTCTAAAAAAACCACATTGCATGGTATGTTGGCTGCATTGTACAGAAATATGGAAACACGAGAATATGGAAACATGAGAAACTCTAGTGTTTAAAGGTTCAGTCCATAGGACCGCAAAAAACCGGTGGACCGAACTGAACCAGACCATGGTCCGGTCTTTTTTTCGGTTGCAGTTGCCCCAATTTGGGGTTGGTCCAGTTGCCGGTTGCCTCATTTCGAAAATCTTTTAAAACTGTTCAAAGACCGGTTTTAATCGGTTGCAACTGGTTAAACGGTCACGTGCATTACATAGCCTTGTAACCACGTTTATTGCCTTTTATTGGGTTTTTGTTTCATCAAAAACAGTTAAGAATTGAGAAAGATATAACCAAATCCATATTTTACCCGAGTCTCTAGGAGATGTAATTCAGTTTCAGTCATAGATATGTCAAATCTTCATTAAATCTCTTGAAAATTGGTAGAATGACAGGTATTTATATGCTTTACTATTTTATATAACCCGTTTATTTTTCAGAGTAATAATGGTTGAGATACAAATGGTTTATATTGATATAATAAATTATACACAAAAAAACCGGTCTGGATCGGTCTGAACCGGTATCATGG